TGTCTCAGAGGCAGCTGGCTAGGGCCTGTGGAGCCGGCATTGAGGGAAAAGAGAGCCGGCAGTGCTCTCTAGTGGTCCAAGGGTGCAACAGCAGCCGCACCCGCCATCCGCGCTTTGGGCGGCTCCCCGTGACGCAGGGATGGGTTCTAGATTCAGCAGAAGAGGCAGGAATCACAATTCCTCTGAAATACCCTTTGCAATCTCAGAGAAGGTGTCAAGCACGAAACAGCGCAGTCTCTCACAAGCCAAGACCGACGCTTCCAGCTCTTAGGGACGGCGGGACCATGGGGACCCCTCTGACCCCGGAACAGAGCCGTTACCCAGAGCGTCCTCTCCCTCTGCAGAGCTACCGCCTCCGGCTTATGGAACTATAGATCGATTCAGTAGTAACCGCTAACTGTAGTAACAAAAACTTCCCTGAGCTAGGCAGCTCACAGAGCATCTTACGTATTTATCCAACTTAATTCTCATTTGCTTTTAATCCCCATTTTAGACATGAGGAAATCAAACCTAGAGACATTAAGTCCGAAGAGCCAGAATACAATCCCACCCTAGGCCTGTCTGGGCCTGAGGCAGTATTCGTCCCTTAAATAGCGACTGCTAATGTTAGTGCCAGCTTTCATGTCAGCATCAGCTGCAGCAAGACGGGAAGTGTATTTCAATGTTATCGGAATTCTGTGTTTATATATTTTCATTTATTTTTGTCTGTACTGGATCAGTTTCCTGTGCCTTTCCACCAGTTGACAGTCTGCGTGGCGCCCCATGTAAGTTTGCGGGACCACAGAGCTGCCTATGTAAGCTCCCCTGGCGTCCGATCCAGTGTCTGATACCCTCATTTAGCTGCAGATCAGATATTAAATGTTTGCTACGTGTTTTAACAACCAATTCCTTCTAGAGCATTATCTCTGGGAACATCATTTTGATGGATTTGAGGAGAGATACTTCCAAAGCCCTGAGAGGGACTGATAAAGAGGGCAGCCGAGGTCTTGCTGAAGTTGTGCCGACTCCGGGACAAGCAGCCAGAGAGCAGAGGAGAAGCGGAGCAGGGAGGAAGGGCACACCTCCAGCTCGCCTGCCTCCGGAACAAGCAGCCACTTGGTTCACGAATTTGCTAAAAGCCTTCTCTCTGCCTCTGGGAAAGGAGCTATGGGAAGGCAGTAACGGGAACCCCCTCGAACTTGGCACAACAAAACTGGAGATTTGCTCCAAGGGTTGAGCAAATCTCTGTGATCCCGGCCCAAGAAGAGCAGGGCTGGGACCCAGAACTAGGAAGGTGTGAGGAGGAGGGATAAGAGGGCCGCACAGCCCACTAAAACCTCTGGGTCCTTTCCAGGGTTCTCGTAAGTGGAGATAAGGGGATAAATGTGAAGTCCTTCACTTCGGTCCAGACACTCAGCTGCACACAAGTTCAAGATCAGGGAGAAAAGGCTTATTAAGTTATGTCTGGAAAATGCAATATTCATTAAAATAGTGATTTTTTTTCTTTTTCCTTTTTTTTATTGAATTTATTGGGGGTGACATTGGTTCACAAAACCATACAAGTTTTAAGTATACAACTCAAAGAAACATCATCTGCACACTGCATCGTGCTCCCACCACCCAAAGCACAATCTCCGTCTGCCCCCCCTCCCCCTGCCCTTTGCCCACCTCCATCCCCCTTTCCCTCTAGCAAAAAAAAAAAAAAAGTAATTTAAATATATCAGCTAAAATTTAAATATATGTGATTTGCTCCTGTAAGAGTAACACTGGTGAGTGTCAGCACCTTGCCTTGGTCAGAGTGGCCACCCTCGCCCGTGGCTTGAGCACATTAGTGAGCAAAGGACCTGGGGCGTGGGCAGCCTGGGAAAGGGAGAGGCAGCCCTTCAGGCCTTCAGCTTCCTCAGGGCACAGTCTTAAATTAAACCCAGCTTTGCCATGCAGGGCCCTGCGGGGACAGCACTGTCCCTGATCTCTTTTCTAACCCACTGTTGACCTCTTCAGCACTCAGGAAGGAGGCCGTGACAAAGAAATTCCTTAGCTTCCTAGTCCCAAACTCAGAGGCAGCACAATTGAGGAGTTGGTGAATCTTGTGTTTGGTACCAGGGCCTCCTATTGGCTTCCTTCCTCCTCACTCGGGAGTCACCGGACTGTTTTCGTGTGGCCCGTGAGCTAAGAATGATTTTTACTTTTTTAAATAGTGGCCGAGGGGGGCCGGGGGGGGGGTCAAAAGATTATTTTGTGACACATGAAAATGAAATTTCGGTGTCCATAAAGTTTTATTGGCATGCAGCCACACGCATTCATTTACACAGTGTCTCGGGCTGCTTTACAGCTACATCTTCAGAGTTGAGGTCATATGGCTTGCAAAGCCTAAAGTATTTATTATCTGGCCCTGTACAGAAAACATCTGCTTCTAGAGCCGTCATTTACCCTGAGGCGTGAAAGACTGATAGCAGCCTGTGTGCTGACTCTCTTGCACCCTTCAGAAGAACATTTGGATTGCAGTCGGAAAAAAATATTTTTATGATGGAGATAAAGCCTGGAGACTTAAATGTGTGTGTTGAAGGGGAGAGGAGATTTCTGGCAACAGCCAGGGGTTCGAGGGCAGGCGCTGGTGGAGCAGGAACTTCCCCGGACCCTGGAGTTGTGCTCTTCCAGAGCAGCTGTCAGATGTTCC